CCAAGATGTCGCCCGCCACCGGCCGCCGGATCCGGCGCTTTAAGCAGGAGTGGCTGAAGAAGTTCTGGTTCCTGCGGTACTCGCCGACGCTGAACGAGATGTGGTGCCACGTCTGCCGCCAGTACACGGTGCAGTCCTCGCGCACCTCGGCCTTCATCGTCGGCTCCAAGCAGTTCAAGATCCACACCATCAAGCTGCACAGCCAGAGCAACCTGCACAAGAAGTGCCTGCAGCTCTACAAGCTCCGCATGCACCCCGAGAAGACGGAGGAGATGTGTCGCAACATGACCCTGCTCTTCAACACGGCCTACCACCTGGCCCTGGAGGGCAGGCCATACCTGGACTTCCGGCCCCTGGCCGAGCTGCTGAGGAAGTGCGAGCTCAAGGTGGTGGACCAGTACATGAACGAGGGCGACTGTCAGATCCTCATCCACCACATCGCCCGGGCGCTGCGGGAGGACCTGGTGGAGCGCATCCGCCAGTCGCCGTGTCTCAGCATCATCCTGGAGCCGTCTACGTCCAGTACACCAGCAGCGACGGGCCTCCGGCCACGGAGTTTCTGTCCCTGCAGGAGCTGGCGTTCTGCAGCACAGAGAGCTATCTCCAGGCACTTGACCGGGCCTTTTCGGCCTTGGGTATCCGGTTGCAGGATGAGAAGCCGACCGTTGGCTTAGGCATCGACGGGGCCAACGTCACAGCCAGCCTGCGCGCCAACATGTTCATGACCATCCGCAAGACGCTGCCCTGGCTGCTGTGCCTGCCCTTCATGGTGCACCGGCCCCATCTGGAGATCCTGGACGCCATCAGCGGGAAGGAGCTGCCCTGCCTGGAGGAGCTGGAGAACAACCTGAAGCAGCTGCTCAGCTTCTACCGCTACTCGCCGCGCCTCATGTGCGAGCTGCGGTCCACCGCCTCCACCCTCTGCGAGGAGACGGAGTTCCTGGGCGACATCCGGGCCGTGCGGTGGATCATCGGCGAGCAGAACGTCCTCAACGCCCTCATCAAGGACTACCTGGAGGTGGTGGCCCACCTCAAGGACGTCAGCAGCCAGACCCAGCGGGCAGACGCCTCGGCCATCGCCCTGGCCCTGTTGCAGTTCCTCATGGACTACCAGTCCATCAAGCTCATCTACTTCCTGCTGGACGTGATCGCCGTGCTCTCGCGCCTGGCCTACGTCTTCCAAGGCGAGTACCTCCTGGTGTCCCAGGTGGACGACAAGATCGAGGAAGCCATCCAAGAGATCAGCCGGCTGGCCGATTCCCCGGGAGAGTACCTGCAGGAGTTCGAGGAGAACTTCCGAGAGAGCTTCAACGGGGTCGCAATGAAGAACCTCAGGGTGGCCGAAGCCAAGTTCCAGTCCATCAGGGAGAAGATCTGTCAGAAGACCCAGGTCATCCTGGCTCAGAGGTTTGACTCCCGTAGCCGGATATTCGTGAAGGCCTGCCAGGTGTTCGACCTGGCCGCCTGGCCCAGGAGCAGCGAGGAGCTCGTGAGCTATGGCAAGGAGGACATGGTGCAGATATTTGATCACCTGGAAGCCATCCCGACTTTTTCCCGGGATGTCTGCAGGGAAGGGCTGGACCCCCGGGGGAGTCTGTTGATGGAGTGGCGAGAACTCAAGGCTGATTACTATACCAAAAACGGCTTCAAAGACCTGATCAGCCACATTTGCAAGTACAAACAGAGGTTCCCGCTCTTGAACAAGATCATCCAGGTTCTTAAAGTTCTCCCCACTTCCACTGCTTGCTGCGAGAAAGGCCGCAACGCCCTCCAGCGAGTTCGCAAAAACCACCGCTCCCGCCTGACCCTGGAGCAGCTCAGTGACCTGCTGACAATCGCCGTAAATGGACCGCCGATCGCCAGCTTTGACGCCAAGCGAGCCCTGGACAGCTGGTTCGAGGAGAAATCAGGCAATAGTTACACACTGTCCGCCGAGGTCCTCAGTCGGATGTCTGCGCTGGAGCAGAAGCCGGTGCTACAGATCGCAGACCACGGGGCGGAGTTTTACCCCGACATTTAGGGAGCCGGCGCCGCAGAGGTCACGAAGCTGTTGAATATTTTTTTAATCTATACTCATAAGCTTTGATATAGTATATAAATATATATTATATTATATTATATATATATAAATATATAGACCAAAACTGAAAATTTTTAAAAGCCAAGGTGATGTAGCCACCGAAGCTACTAGGAGCTTTCAGAGAGGAATAATGTCAGAAAACGACTCTTGTCTACAAAGTTTGGCAGCTGCAACATACGTGGCAACTCATTTTCACTCACAGAAGCATGTGCTGAGGCCACACGTGTTCCCACCCACCAGCCAGTCGACAGCCTAAGCTAAAGTGGCGGGTCTCGGTCATCACTTCTAGGTAGCTCACCTTGTTGATGTTTTCATTTGGGGGTTGAGAGGGTTGGGTTTGGGATTATGTTCTTGTCTTTTCTATTTCTGTTTAGTGTTGTGGTGGGAGTGTTTCCTAGCCTCCTCACTGGTATTCTGATCCAGCCGAATCCGATCTCTGGTTTCAGACAGGATGGGTTGCCCGGTGTTTGATCTTTCTCCCTCCCCAACCTGATTCAGCCTGAGGGATCCCTTAATTCATTTCCTGATGTGTGTTCCTTCACTGTCCTAGAAACAAAAGTATCGGTCAAACTATGACACCACCCCCTCTCACCTCTGTCCCCTTCCCTACCCCTGGGTTGTCAATCCTTCCTTCCAGCTGCCTGGGTACTAAAGATATTATTACCAACTATACTGAAGGCAAACTTGCCTCACAACCGAGCTTGAAATCCTGGGCAATGTGGGTGAACTTTTTGCATTCCTGTTTTTATGTGGTAGAGGGGAAAATAATAGAATTCTATTCAAATCCAGGGCTACCAGGGAGACAAAGAACCAAGAAATCCAGACCCAAACAGGGCAGCGATTTTTGGCTAAATACAAGTAAGAAGAAAGGTATATATTCAATTTACATGAATTATTTATACTCTGTCTTTATAATCATATGTTGCGTTGGGGGCTTCTTTTTTCCTTTAATAGTCAAGAGATGCCCGCTGTGCTCCATGGCAGGAGATGTCAGTGCACATCATACCCAGGTTGTGCGGAACTCTCACGAGAATCTCTAGACACGTGATCCTTCTTTTCCAATGAGGCTGATACCAGGCTTCCCAGCCTGGCAGAAAGGTAGTGGGCACCTGGGTACCGCATCTGTCTATGCCTGTGAAACCTTCCTTTTGTGAACAGGGTAGAGATGTAAAGAAAAGGGAAAAAAAAGATGACGTTAAGACAGGACTCTCAAGGCAGCAACTACGTACACACACACACACACACACACACACGCACACACACACAAATACACACAACCGTGATATAAGCTTTAGAAATAGCCACTTGCCTACTCCCTGAGGCAAGGAGTGGTTTAAGCTAGAGGAGTCTGATCAGTGCTCTTTTGTTCATTTAACTACCGGTATACCTCGCAAGGGAGTTTTACAAAGTGTGCGTGAGCCGTTCCAACCTTCTGTTCATGTTTCCACACCTGATGTATGCATACGTTATACGCAGAGACCCCCTCACGTGGGTGCAGGCCATCTTTGGGGAAGGGAGGAAGATCCGATTCCTATCTGTGGTCAGTTCTGCTGAGATCTAGCCCCTCTCCGTTGACAGAGGGTGGTGGGGTCAGGCCCCAGGCAAGGCCCCCGTATCCTCAACCTACTTGGCTCAGACTTTAGAAAACTGTGGTGGCTTCCTTCCTTCTTGGTCTGTCTGGTCTCCGAGGCCTCATGCCACCGCTGAGAACCGTAGTGGAAATGTCATCAACACTGAACCCATTGTCACCCCTTCCTGGTCCTGCCAGCCCCTTCGTTCCCCACAGATCCCTTCCCCACACCCCCATGGTCTTGGTGCTAAGATAACTTTAGAATCATTGCTGCTAGTCAATAGCTTTTCATTATATAAATATATTATATATATATATATTATATATTATTTTTGAAATGTTTTTGTTTGTTTTCAACAGTGATGTAGCATGTTAAAAACAAAAAACTACAAAACTGGGTTCCTCCAACTGTCCCACTGCCAGGCGTCATATGCTGCCTTCGTCAACAGATCAATGCACCCCTGACGTCCACTCTTCCCGCCGCCCCCCACTCCAGTCGCACACATGCTGCCCCGACCATCCATGAGCAGGGAGAGAGTTCGTGGGAACTAGTACGGAATGATGGAGAGTCCCCGCCTGATGCTTTGAAATTCCCAGCCTTGCTAGGCTTCCCCACCGTAAGCTGGTAGCTCCTCCCACCTGCTGCTCCCATTCTGTGGTCACGTGGGATGTTGCAGAGCACAAGGGCCCACCTTTGCCAGCTGCTGCCCTCACACACGGACCACGGTTGTCTGGGGAGTTTTATTGGCCATCATAGACACCACAAGGAGTGGAGGGAGAGACAGCTGATGCCCTAGGGGGGCCTCCAGGAGGGGCGGAGCCAGTCAGCTGGGGGTCTTCCAGCACACACACACACACGCACACACACACAAATACACACAACCGTGATATAAGCTTTAGAAATAGCCACTTGCCTACTCCCTGAGGCAAGGAGTGGTTTAAGCTAGAGGAGTCTGATCAGTGCTCTTTTGTTCATTTAACTACCGGTATACCTCGCAAGGGAGTTTTACAAAGTGTGCGTGAGCCGTTCCAACCTTCTGTTCATGTTTCCACACCTGATGTATGCATACGTTATACGCAGAGACCCCCTCACGTGGGTGCAGGCCATCTTTGGGGAAGGGAGGAAGATCCGATTCCTATCTGTGGTCAGTTCTGCTGAGATCTAGCCCCTCTCCGTTGACAGAGGGTGGTGGGGTCAGGCCCCAGGCAAGGCCCCCGTATCCTCAACCTACTTGGCTCAGACTTTAGAAAACTGTGGTGGCTTCCTTCCTTCTTGGTCTGTCTGGTCTCCGAGGCCTCATGCCACCGCTGAGAACCGTAGTGGAAATGTCATCAACACTGAACCCATTGTCACCCCTTCCTGGTCCTGCCAGCCCCTTCGTTCCCCACAGATCCCTTCCCCACACCCCCATGGTCTTGGTGCTAAGATAACTTTAGAATCATTGCTGTCAGTCAATAGCTTTTCATTATATAAATATATTATATATATATATATTATATATTATTTTTGAAATGTTTTTGTTTGTTTTCAACAGTGATGTAGCATGTTAAAAACAAAAAACTACAAAACTGGGTTCCTCCAACTGTCCCACTGCCAGGCGTCATATGCTGCCTTCGTCAACAGATCAATGCACCCCTGACGTCCACTCTTCCCGCCGCCCCCCACTCCAGTCGCACACATGCTGCCCCGACCATCCATGAGCAGGGAGAGAGTTCGTGGGAACTAGTACGGAATGATGGAGAGTCCCCGCCTGATGCTTTGAAATTCCCAGCCTTGCTAGGCTTCCCCACCGTAAGCTGGTAGCTCCTCCCACCTGCTGCTCCCATTCTGTGGTCACGTGGGATGTTGCAGAGCACAAGGGCCCACCTTTGCCAGCTGCTGCCCTCACACACGGACCACGGTTGTCTGGGGAGTTTTATTGGCCATCATAGACACCACAAGGAGTGGAGGGAGAGACAGCTGATGCCCTAGGGGGGCCTCCAGGAGGGGCGGAGCCAGTCAGCTGGGGGTCTTCCAGCCATTTCCTGATGTGTGTTCCTTCACTGTCCTAGAAACAAAAGTATCGGTCAAACTATGACACCACCCCCTCTCACCTCTGTCCCCTTCCCTACCCCTGGGTTGTCAATCCTTCCTTCCAGCTGCCTGGGTACTAAAGATATTATTACCAACTATACTGAAGGCAAACTTGCCTCACAACCGAGCTTGAAATCCTGGGCAATGTGGGTGAACTTTTTGCATTCCTGTTTTTATGTGGTAGAGGGGAAAATAATAGAATTCTATTCAAATCCAGGGCTACCAGGGAGACAAAGAACCAAGAAATCCAGACCCAAACAGGGCAGCGATTTTTGGCTAAATACAAGTAAGAAGAAAGGTATATATTCAATTTACATGAATTATTTATACTCTGTCTTTATAATCATATGTTGCGTTGGGGGCTTCTTTTTTCCTTTAATAGTCAAGAGATGCCCGCTGTGCTCCATGGCAGGAGATGTCAGTGCACATCATACCCAGGTTGTGCGGAACTCTCACGAGAATCTCTAGACACGTGATCCTTCTTTTCCAATGAGGCTGATACCAGGCTTCCCAGCCTGGCAGAAAGGTAGTGGGCACCTGGGTACCGCATCTGTCTATGCCTGTGAAACCTTCCTTTTGTGAACAGGGTAGAGATGTAAAGAAAAGGGAAAAAAAAGATGACGTTAAGACAGGACTCTCAAGGCAGCAACTACGTACACACACACACACACACACACACACGCACACACACACAAATACACACAACCGTGATATAAGCTTTAGAAATAGCCACTTGCCTACTCCCTGAGGCAAGGAGTGGTTTAAGCTAGAGGAGTCTGATCAGTGCTCTTTTGTTCATTTAACTACCGGTATACCTCGCAAGGGAGTTTTACAAAGTGTGCGTGAGCCGTTCCAACCTTCTGTTCATGTTTCCACACCTGATGTATGCATACGTTATACGCAGAGACCCCCTCACGTGGGTGCAGGCCATCTTTGGGGAAGGGAGGAAGATCCGATTCCTATCTGTGGTCAGTTCTGCTGAGATCTAGCCCCTCTCCGTTGACAGAGGGTGGTGGGGTCAGGCCCCAGGCAAGGCCCCCGTATCCTCAACCTACTTGGCTCAGACTTTAGAAAACTGTGGTGGCTTCCTTCCTTCTTGGTCTGTCTGGTCTCCGAGGCCTCATGCCACCGCTGAGAACCGTAGTGGAAATGTCATCAACACTGAACCCATTGTCACCCCTTCCTGGTCCTGCCAGCCCCTTCGTTCCCCACAGATCCCTTCCCCACACCCCCATGGTCTTGGTGCTAAGATAACTTTAGAATCATTGCTGCTAGTCAATAGCTTTTCATTATATAAATATATTATATATATATATAT